TTGTAGCACGCACCCCTGGTCTTTGTGTGACCGTTACGTTCAGCTGATGTTGTAGCAGGATGTGGCGGCTAGTCCGATCATTTCATGGTATACCACCAGATTAGGGTTCTATGCCGAGCAGTCCGAGCGAGATGTTAAGCTCCCGGTTCGCGTCACACTTGTTGATCAAGTTTGGGTTGATGTTGGCTGGTCATCCGGTCCACGGTAAAGCCAGTAATCTTGTCGAGGTTATAAACCCGCAAAGAAAGATAGACTGCGGGAATGGGCATGCGTCAATTTTGTGTCCACTGGACGAATTATCGTGGAGAAGGCGAAGATGACGTTAAGGAGATAGGTGACTAAGTTACCCTAGAGCTAATTAGCTGCAGGGTCACGAATATACGCCGAGATTCCTCCGCCCATAGCATCATCAAAGTATCCGTGGTCGCACAGAGAAATCTGATTTGGGATATAAATAACGATAGCTTTTCCATTGTACCAGACTTTCAGTAAGTGAGCAGGTTGCATTTGACCATGTGTGGCTACAGGAGTAATTGTTGGGCAGTAGCGTTGAATCAATACCAATAAACTACCGCTCTACCGCACCATATGACAAAGAATTGATCAGACAGTGGTATCATCTGGAGAATAAACCAGACTAAGGGTGGCCAGGAGACCCCACCCCACAGCCAGGAGGGCGACAAGAACTTCAACTTCAAAGAGCGGTACGTGCCCAAAGGCAAAGTAGCGACTAAGAAACAACTTCATCACTTGCATCCCATAGTGCCTCTGCTCAGCAGGACTACAGCTGGTCAGCACGTAGTAGTCCAGGGCGGACAAAGAACGCAGACCAGCACTCGCTGCGGGCCGCCCCTTTCGGAACCAGGCGATGATTCGGAAAGCGAGACAACCGGGTCTAGAGAGTTTGGCAAGTTCTGGAAACGAGCCTGATTCGTCACAGAATAGATCCCGAAGCACATTCATGCGCGACACGCGCAGGAAATCATGTCCCGCCAAGAGCTTGAAGACTTCTTCGGCGGTCAAGGCTTGACTCTCTACGAAGGAGGTGTAGAAGTCCGGCCGTAGAACCCGAAATCCAACGGCTTTGTCCGGGCATTTGCTCGAAACTGCACGCGCCGAGGGTGATTGCATGATCTCGACCGCGTCGTTGGCAAACAGTCCTGCAGCGGAATACCGCACGGTAAATGATCCGTCAGTGTTCTCCACTCGATGCCGCAGGTATCCCCTAACAAAATATTCGAGCGAACGTTCGAGTCGATTTGCGCGCCGACTGATTGTTTTCTCCAATGGCACCGGTAGAGACCAGACCCGTAATTTCCGTTGCACATGCAGCATTGCAGCCTGAAAATAGATGCGTGGCTCCGTTAAAGCCCCCACCCACCCCCACGATAAGATCAGCTGGGATCGCTGGTAGGCGGAGAGAGCAGCTGGGCGGATCGCCGGCCCCGTAGCGCGGATAGAAGCAATGAGTCGGACCCGATTGGAGGCAACTAGCACGATCCGACTGTCGATCGGCCTTTCGCACCGCAAGGGATCAGCGGTGGTTAGGGTATATGCCATGCCCTCTCGGGGATTGAACGGTGAAACATGAAAGTCTTTCGACCAGGTGCTGGAGAAGCGGTTCAATGTATGGCAAGGCTGATCTGCAGGATCGGCAACACTAGTGTCCCCGGAAGTTGACCCAGTCGATAGGAGCAAGTACATATGCCGCTCACCAAAGTTGTTGTTCACCTCTAAGATAACCGCGGCCAAGGTTTTATTGATGGAATATAAATACCAGAAAGAGACGGGATTAAAGACATGGCCTAGCACTTTGGGAGCAGTAAGAAGAAAGACGTAGGGGTATTCTTCATCCCGGAGGCGCTGGGTTGAAGATTAGTGAGACACACGCGCAGATGACGGACGGCTTTACCTGACTATGCAGATACTGACGAAGCTTCCCGTGCAGTCCAGCATGGTTGCCTCTTTCCAAGTAATCACCAGGATCCACGGTAAACCATCCAGAGCCGACCACAGGCAAGTTATATTTCTCGATACTGTTGCCCCGCCACCGAACAGGCAGCACAACCCAAAGATAGGGATAGGAGAATGAATGAACAACTGGATGTACCCTGGTGTGTCGAACCTGACAGGGGTAGAATATCGGCTCAGGTATCCTGTGCAAATCTGAAAATAAAGGAAGGGTAGACATGTTGGAAGGGACGGGCTATAGCATAGTTGGTATTCGTGCGGTGGACTAATAAGAGTGCCAGTCTAGGCGGCATTTGACGAATAAATACGCACTGAACCTGCGCAATAGCCATGCCGGCTCCTTGCCATGGTGAAAGGCAAGGCGTTGCTGCCGTGACAGGCGGCACATATTCACCTGCATGGGTACCTTACTACCTGTGGTATCCCCTTGTTTTGAAGAAGCTAATTTGTATGCTGCCATTCTTGTCTGCGTGCTGATTACTATGCCTTGGCTACCTGGATGCGACCAGCGAGGGCGTGTCAGACTTCAGAGAACAGCTATCATCTGTGTGCACGGTCTGCTAGAGATCTGAATGTCATTTGCCAATAGACTTTGACAAGAAACTCAGCTCATCATGTGGAGTTGATCACCGTTGCACAAAGTGGGTGACATGACTGCGTGCTGCTGTCTGGTGAAAAACATGACGTAGAGAGCACCTGGACAGCAGGAAGTGACAGAGAATCATTCAATGACTGAATTCTGTCTCCTAAGAGGTGAATGGAGTGTTAGTATGTGATGAGTGAGGGGGATTCCAGTCGTTGTTCTCATCGGCAGGTGCGAGTCTCTCCGTCTGCCGGATCACGGGACAACACGCCCAACGGGTTGAGGGCCTGAGACCATTTCAGCCCTCACAAAATGAAATATATCGTGGTCCGATGACACGTATTAATAACAGAAGGTTTGACTACTATCATGACCGTTACTGGCAGATTGTGCTTCTCCGATGACATTGACCCGGACCTCACATTGCAGAATTGACTAGATCAGTGAACATTGAGAATGGTACAGTCGGCTATATGGGGTTGGGTGCCATGGGGTGAAGGTATGTCCATAGCTTTTATTAATCACCTGGCTCAGAATGTACAATTTGGAGGATGGGATAAGGTTTCCTCTGTCATCTCTGACGATATTAGACAGTATTACCCTCGACGGGAACAAACCGCACCATCATCTTCCTCCCCTTTGGCAACGCAATAAACTCCAAGTGCTGCTCGATATCCTCATCATCCACAACCTCGGGTGAGTAGTTAGCATATATCATCGCTATAACTAATTTGATCTCCAGAAGTGCAAAATTGCTCCCCAGACACATCCTTCCTCCAGCTCCAAACGGGTAGAACAAGCGCCGCATATCATGGATCTTGTCATCCTTTGCGTCCATCCAACGCATGGGAATCCACTCCTCCGGAGACGGAAATACCTCTTTAATCCGGTGTAAGGAGTATGCAGAGGAACTGACTTGTACTCCGCCGGGGATATAATACCCATGTATCCATGCTCCCTCTGGTGGAGTCACCCGGGATAACGGTGCCGGAGCCGGTGCGTGTCGTCGGAGAGTTTCCCGGACGATGGCATCCAGCAACGGAAGTGCATCGATATCTGCCAGCGGAGGCAGTTCTTCTTCCATCTCCTCAGTATGCCTTAACGACCCAGACAATGTAGCCAGCTCCTCTCTCAGTCTTGTCTGCAAATCCGGCGTCTTCGACAGCTCCCACATGCCATACGTGATGGTAATACCAGTTGTCTCATGCCCCGCCACCAAATGATCCAATATCTCCGATGCAACGGCTAACTTCACATTTATATCCTCACCAGTTATATTTTTCTTTTCCTCCAATCCCTGTCGAAGCCGATCATAAACCACAGCCTGCGTCAGCGGGCCTCCATTCCCTTTTCCAAGACCAACCCCCTCACACAACCCCAAACACCACCTCTCCACAAAGCCCATAAATCTATCCTCCCTGCTCATGCTCTTGAAAGCCTCATACTGCCCTAACCACACTCCCCAAGAAACCAAATCCTCCAAGAATCTCGTCCCACTCTGCGTTCCAAACACAAACCCAGAGGTGAAATCCATCCCCACAGCCTGAAAGACAGGCAACACATTGACGACCTCACCCTTCGCAACAACCTTCCTTAAAAAATCCCCCAACCTCCCAGCCACCATCTTCTTTCCCAGAACCCTAATATCTCCCGACCTAAGCAGATAGCTCTTGGCATAAACCCCACTCAGCAACCTCTTCTGTTCCCCGTGAGATTTATTTCTCAGCATACCGACCATATTTGGCGTATGGAAGTTTATAAACGTGTCAGCATAAAACGCATGTTTTTCGAACGCGCCCTGCGTATAAATCGCCCGCAGGCCTTCAAGCGAATTGATGCTGAGTTCGGTGGGAGAAAGGCGGATTATGGGCCCGCGGGCGCGATGGGCGGTGTAGATGGCTTTCACTTCGGTGGTGCGGTTGCGATGGTGGGTTATCCATTTGGTGGTATATGGAGAGAGGGGGTGAGCGTTGGGGACGCGAGAGAGGGGGTCGGTGAAGTATTTGTGGATGAGGTAGATGATGGGGAGAATGGCGATGAGGAGAACAGAGAGCATCGTTATTGTAGTTGTGAGAGGGGAGGGAGTTGTTGAAAAGATGGATGAATACGAGGGAGACGGTGTTTAAGTATGACGGTGGATGCATGGATGCATGCTAAACCGGACTAATGATTTAGGGTTCGCGGAAGGCATTGGTGCATCCGTAGTGCAGGCAACCAGTCTTGAGAATTGATGAGTTGCTAGATTAGATACTGTCTAATTCGGGGGCACTCTAGCTACTGCTCAACAAGCAGTCGCTAATCTTCTACCAACATTGTGTTATTATCAGACTTGAACAAGAGGATATAAATCTAACCTATGAAGGTATCATCACCTTATTTCAACCCACCCCAGTTCTTGATACAACAAGCCACATATCTTCGAACTGTATACACACCTCAACCCACCTCACTCCTCATCAACATCAACATCAGTCCCCATCGCCACCTCCCTAGTAGCTTCCAAATCCGCCTGCAACGCCGCAATCTTCTCCTCCAACACCCTCACACAATCCCTCCCCAACGGCATCCTCAAAAACCCATATCCCGCATATCCATTATCAACAGCTACAACCAGAGCCCTCGCTGCTTTCTCAGGATCGCCCTTAATCCACTTCGTCGCCGAGCCCATATCCTTTGATAACGCCATCATCTCCTCAACCGGCGTATACTTGTATACATTACTGTATCCCCTCTCCAATCCAGGTCCACTAGGAAAGACCTGTCGGCCCGGGAATGGGGTGCGGAATGCACCGGGCTCGACGATTAATACTTTGATGCCGAAGGGTTTCACTTCCTGGGAGAGCGATTCGTAGACCGCTTCGATGGCGAATTTGCTGGCGGCGTAGGTGGAGCGGGCGGGGCGGGCGATGATTCTATATTTTCAGAACAAAGTTGTTAGGCATGATTTATTGGGATAAATTGAATTGACATACCCAGCTCCACTACTAATTAGAATGATATGTCCCGACCCCTTGTCATGCATCACCGGTAAACAAGCCCTCGCGGCCCGGAGGGGGCCGTAGAAGTTGACTTCCATCTGGGCGCGGACTTCTTCTTCACTAGAGATGGCTTAGCCATGGCCGTTGACACACCAAAGTAGATATTAAATATATCATGGAAAGGAATAAAATGAAAAGCGTACCTTGTATCCTCCACCGCCCCAATAAACGCATACCCCGCACTATTCACCAACACATCCACATTATACTCCACAGCTACCTCCGAAAACCGCTCATACGCATCATGCTGAGCAGGATCGAGACATACCCAGATCCCGCCATTGGGAGCGAACTCAGGATAAGAAGACTCGGCCTTTTCAACGTCGCGCGTCGTGCCAATGACCCTGTGATTGGCGATGAGGGCCTCGGCGGCAATGGCCTTTCCTAGGCCTGAGGAGGCTCCGGTGATGAGCCATGTCTGGTATGGTTCCGTGCGCATTGTGTATGGATCCTAAGACTGACAGTTATGCATAGTACAAAGCGACAATGCTAGGAGAAGGTACATGCCTTATATGCTGATAGCTAAACGGAGACACCGGAGTTAAGCGCTTAAGTCCCCGTGTTCGGGATATTCCTCTACCAGATTGCAAGGTTCCATGTAGGCTAGCCGGGAGCGCGAATTAGAATGACTGAAGTGTATTTATGGTGCTTATGGGGGCCTGTCATCGTCTAGTAACATCGATATCTCCGGTCCCAGTAATCTGCACTCAACACACTATCCCCATTATTACAACTCTGCACCGCCAACCCTATAAATCTCATTATACCCCCCTAACGCCACCTCCCTAAGTGTCTCCCCGTCCCTCCCCGCAAATCGCCCCGGATCCAACCCCTCCTTGATCTCCCCATCCACCTCCTTCCCTTCCAACACATCACACAAAAACCTCGCAGTGCCTGCCGCATGCGTAACCCACACCGCAGCAGCCAGATACACGCCCTCTAACCCAGGAACCTCACCCACAAGGGGCAAGTTGTCCGGCGTCATGGAGAAAATCCCATTGAATGTTTCTCTGGGGGCGAGACCTGTTTCGGATGGGATGAATCCCAGCGCGTGTTTCAAAGTGTTGTCAAACTCAGAAATCCACTCGCCGATGGCGGTACCCTTTGGTTCCTGCGCGACAGGAGCGTGGTTGTACGAGCCGAGGCCGTAGAAGGGGCCGTGGTCGCGCGCATAGACGTGGTGGTCGGGCCAGCGGATCCATGGGGATGGTACCTTCTTCTGGTCGTGGTAAGGCCCGTACATGTATGGATGAGCGACGGGGACGATGGGGATAGGGGTATTAATGTCCGGTAGAAGCTCAGGGGCCCAGATACCCGTAGCGAGGACGACAGTCTTAGTGGGGATGTATCCAGCTGTACCCGTGTTCACGCCATCCACGCGACCATTGCCATCTTTATGAATACTAGTGACATCTGTTTCGATGCACTCAACGCCCCTAGCGCGCGCTTCATCTTGAAAGAACTTCGTGATACACGTAGCATTTGCTGCCCCGTCGCTGGCAAAGTACAACGCACTCACAACATCCTCCTTCTTGATCAGGGCTGGGGCCATGCGGGCTGCTTCCTCCGGGGAGATAAGTTCGGCAGGGAGGCCTGCTGCTCTGGCCGAGCCATATCGACGCTGCAGACGCTCTGCGCCTGTCTGGCTCGTAGCCAGCTCGATCCCGCCGATGGTGTCGAAGCCGCCTGGGATCGTGGTGTACTCCTGCACGGTGTCTCTGGCGAGGCGGGTGAGGATGGCGCTGTCGTTGTATTGGCCGACGAAGCCGGGAGCGTGGCCGGTTGAGCCGTTGAGGGGGGTTAGGGAGCGGTCAAGGAGGATGATTTTCTTGGTTTTGTTATTGTTGGAGAGGTAGTATGCCAGGGCCGAGCCGACAATGCCGGCGCCGATGATGGCGATGTCGGCGGGTTCTTGGGTGGATTGCATGGTGGTAGTAGTAGCTGCGATGTTTCGTGGGTAGCTTGCAGGTAAGTAGTTGGGACATCGTTGGTATATAAGTGTCGAGGCATGGCGGAAGCCAAGATGCTGGCCGCGTGTGCTTTGCGGGTTCTTGTTGAGTCACCTCGTATACTAGTACTATTTAGTAGCAAGTCTTGGAAGCTATATATAGAGTCGGGTTAAGACAAACATATCCACATCCGTCGGAAGATTGACGTGTGGACGGAATGATGTCATAACTTACTTCAATAGTATAAATTCGCTTGAATGTTGTCAGTGGAGCAAAGTGGGTGAGATGTAAAGCATGTAATATCAGACATCAAAATTATTAATATAGCATAACTCATGCATTAAGTATACATTGTATCCATCACCATAAATCATACGCCATGATCACTACGCCTCAATCTTTCCGGGTTCGCCCGCGTTGCGGCCCAGATAAGCCGACTCCTCGATGTTGTTCAGTTCGTCTTCCTCCTTATCAAGCTTCAAGTTGCAAAGGAAGAAGAGGTTTCCACCAACGAAAGCCAGCACGGCGACGAAGCCGTAGTTCCAGATCAAGAGGGGATCGGTTGACAGGGCGGTAAGACCCTGCTGGATAGCAGATGAAATGGCGTTCATGAAGAGGTAAAGAGATTGAACTGGTACTTGTTAGTAACAATTTAATTGACACATGCAGGAAAAAGGGCTTACCTAAACTTTTCATGTTCTTCGGCGCCTTGGTATACGCATACTCGTAACCAGTAATGGAGGCGAAGATTTCCGAAAAGGCAATCAGCACGTAAGGCACTGCCTGCACCCACACGTTGATGGGAGCGGCCTCGTCGCAGGTGCTGGGGTGGTTGCCACATGGGCTCAGCTTGTAAATGTAGTATTGCGTGACGGCAGCGGCAATCATGGATGCGGAGGCCAGCAGGTATCCAGCGTAGATACGCTTGATGGGGGTGAAGTGGAAGCCCATCTTGCGAAGTCCCGGGTAGACGAACTGATCCATGATCGGGATGAAGATGATGAGGGCAAGGGGGTCCAGGTTGTTGATGATATCGTTAGGCACGCCGTGCAGCTGCATGGTGGCCGCCTGAGAGGTCAGGTTGTTGGTCATTTGTCCGTAGGCCAGCCCTGCGGGGATCAGTTAGAATGACCATATGGCCTCAGGTCGAGATGGGGACACTAACAGTAAAGAGGGTACCAGGCAAAGACAGCACAGGCCTTGACGGCACGACGCACTTCTTCGACCCAATTGTCATCAAAGGTCATCCAACTGGGCTTGTTGGCAAGGCGACTGGGCTTGACGCTGTCCCAGAATTCTGTCGATTGGCAACGGTGGTAGCTAATCCGTTAGCAAAATCCCAGCAGTATCTGGGAATGACTTACAAAGTGACAGGGTTCCAGGACCATTGGCCCCGGAGAGCCAGGCTCCAAAGCTGGAAGGCCTTGGTCACAACTGATCCAGTCGGGGGCGTCACAGTGTATCGCTTGCGGCAGAAGAAAAGGACAATTGGACAGAGACCGAACATGATGGTCGGCAAGAGGAACGCCAGCCAGTATCCCACGTACTTCTCCGCGTACACCATGGCCACAGAGCCGATAAGGGAGCCGACGTTAATCATGAAGTAGAAGTAGAGGAAAATGCGAGTAATGGTCTGTGCAGGATCGACGATAACACGCTCTCCAGTCTTGGGGATAGTCTTAATGAAAAGCTTGGTCTCCTTGTACTGTTCGGCAATCAGGGGCGAGATGTTGGATCTGTGACGGTTAGGCTTGACTCCTCAATGGGGAGTGGCAGCACCTACTTGAATCCACCCACACCAATACCGAAAATCACCAGACCAACAGCGAAGCAAGCCAATGCACCGTTCGCATGTACAATAACCGGGGGAATAGAGGAGATGATGATGATAATGTGACCAAGCATAGCAAAACCGATGGAGACTTGGATAGTTCGCATACGACCCCAGTATTCATCGGCAATCCAGGCACCCAAGATGGGCATGACGTAGCACCAGAATGTGTTGACTAAGAGTCAGTTAGCATAGCTTTCATTTTCACGATGTTCGAAGAGGCCTACAGGTAGTCAATGCAGTGGAGGTCCGTTCACCCTGGCCCAGAGCACCCGACTGTCCACTGTAGCCGGCACCCGTGGTGGAGCCGGCGGGGAGAGGCTGCTGGATAAAGTTGACATCTAATCAGGGTTAGTCACAGCTTTTAACAACCTCCTGCTACACATACAAACTGCAGTTGTTCCATAGTATGAGAAGCGCTCGCACAGCTCGACGAACGCGACCGTGTAAGCTGTCCAGCTGACCGTGTCAGAGACTCGACGCAGTGTCCGCTCCTCTTCCTCGGTGGGGTACTCGCGCCCATCATCGTGGACATCGTGGATAGATGGCACGGCCGACACCACCGCGGTTTCTTTCTCGTTAATGGGGAGATGAGACTCTTTCTTCTCTTCAACTGCCTGGATCTCCTTTTGGGGAGCATGGGCCTGTGCGACATAGACCAGATCGTCTGCGCCAACGGGATCACTCATCTTGGCGAACTCGGGCCCTGACAGGGTCTGACTGGAGGGATGGAAAATGGATGGGAAAGACGATCGCACAAGAAAAAAGGGGATCAGCCTGGGGAGCAAGGGATTAATAAGGCCTGGGAGGCGAGAAGCAGCCGAGAGACAAGCGACCTAGTGAGCCGGCTGGGTGTTGCATTTGGGTAAGCTGCGACAGGCTCGCTTCGGGGCCACTATCAGTGCGCGGAGACTACTCCAGATGCCTCGAAGCTGGCTAGTGCCAAGGCCTAATTCCCACCGGTGCAGCGTCGGAGATCGGGACCCAATGTGGATGGTAGCCACTATCTATTTTGCATTACAGCCAGTATCACGCGATGGGTTGGTGCACTTCTTCGCCGCTGTCTATGCGGCCAGGCAGTGGGGAGGCTTATCCAGGGAGGTTCTAGCGTCCATCTAGAACGCACAAAGCTGGCACCCGGACCTGCTCTGTTCCATGTTTCTGTGGCAAACATGGCCGTTGCAGCCCGAGTGGCATGTGGTCCAGAGTGGATAAGAAACTGGGGGAAGCAGTGTGGGCAAATGAGGTAACGTCCATATGGGAGAGTTGACCGAAGTACGCGCGATAATTTGTCCAAGTCCCTGCATGGTGGCGGACGAGCAGGATTAGCTTCCACTAAACATCGAGGATTCATCGCGGTGGGAAGCGACGCTGCTATCGGACTATCTGAGGGCGGATTGAATAGGAACGGGACCACTAGTCATGTCTGATGGCACCGGCTAAACTAGTCTATCTAGCTTTCTCGCCAACGCGGCAAGTGAAGTGGCTAATGCAGCCGGATGGATGTCCAACCGTGGGATCTTCCACAATCCCCGCACTCCCACGCATCTCTCCTGGAGAGGCACAGGGGTGGCAGGTGGACACGGCGAGTAGGGGGGCGTCTACTCTATCTCAGCTCCCAGCCACGCAGGATGGTTTGTAAAAAGCAAGTATGCGAGCTGGAAAGGAGTGAGACTCGGAGTCACCGAGAGAGCTGGGGATAAGGCTGGCTCGGGGGGACCGTAATAGGAAGGATGGAGAAAAAAAAGCAATTTCAGGGACCGAGTTGGCCAATGGATGAGGTCCAGTGAGGGCCAAGCATTGCGTGCTCTGACTGGTCCGGATGATGTCTCAGAAGATAAACTAACCTGAACCATGGAAAGTACGACTGGTATATTACTGATGAAGGAAGCGGAAATAAAATGAGATATCGGGAGTCAAAGATATGAAACTGATAGAGGCAAGTCGGAGATGACACCACCGCCAGCACTGATAACGGCATCAGCCGCAACCAATCAGATCTGATAATCATACAATGCCAAGACCATGCGGGTCTTGGCAGTGGAGCTTCGACGAAGCCAAGTGGGTGGAGGCCGAAAAGAATTATCCGGATAGACTCACGCTGCTATCAGCCCGATTCCGTCCTTTGGAGGATATACTTGCCCGCTGCTACTGCTGCTGCGCACACCCTGATGCAGTAATGTCCAAACGAGACTACGCCTAGATTATCCACCTGCATCTCACTCCGTAACTAGCCGGAATAATCAAGCTGAACTGATAGCTGCACCAATGGTCTGATGGTTCGAGCAGCTGCTGTAGACGGTTCGGGGATGCTGCCAGGATGGGCACGTCCCTCGTGGCCTCTCAAACCTTTACGTACTGGAATCCTATCAAGCATTCATGGACGCCTGACCTAGTCTCAGTTTGGATTAGTCTCCCCTCCAGATCCCGCTGTTGTGATCTCATCACGTGTTTATGGCCTGGGGCAGAAATTGGCTCACGTGTACCACCATCCTCTATAGCATTCTCATGGTCACCACCACTATGTTTCTTCAGAATCTTGACGCGGGGGTTTGGCGAACGACACATGGCCCGGCTGCTACGGGCAGTTTAACCTTACTTATATGTGGGGTTGGCTCGACATTTCGTATTCTGCAGGGAAAAGCACGCCTTACTCCGCGGTTCTGATTCCTGCGGAAAAAAGATTAAGCTTCATATTGTTGACTCTCAAGCCATCCAAATGATGGTCTAGCATTCGGAAGTATTCCGACTGCCGACGCACGTTAGTTGCCGATATCTCACCTCTGAAGTCCATGCTTAAGTCTCAGCATTGGACAAGCGCTAGTCAACTAGTTTGGACGCATTACGCGTGCTTTCCCCAGCAAGCGCCTCCCCTCGGGCCTAAGCTGTGGTCACAGAGGCAGCGGATACACTTGGAGAGTGTCTGGTCACTTCATATTCTCCCAAGTACCCTCATGTATCAGCCCTACAGACTCCAGATATAATTTCTGGACGGCTCTTAGATGCCATGCCGCTATGCTGATCTTCCGACCAATAAGCGGCGGGGAACGCCCCCGCGAGGCTGAGGCTGACTCCATCGCTTCATCCCACGAAGACCTCTTCTTCCGCTGATGCTACCTAATGTACATAAGCATGGAGAAGTCTCCTGCAGCCATCTACTTGGAATTGGACGATGACCGTGTTGACCAGCTTATGCGGGCCGCCCACCGAGGCTTGCTTCCCGAGGTTCAATCCCTCCTCTATGGCGTTTCCCCCAACGTCCAAGACCAGACCGGTCGGACGGCTTTCTCATGGACCGCATCCTGTGGCTTTTCACGGGCCCAGTCCATAGAAGAGCGAAGCCGTTGTGATAATGTGTTGCAGTATCTTCTGGACAGAGGTGCCAATCCCGATCTCGGTGACCACCATGGCGAAACACCTCTCCACTGGGCCGTGAAAGGTGGGGATCGCGAAATGGTAGACCTCCTTCTGATGAAGGGAGTTTTCTCCGATATCGCAGACTCCCGTGGTCGTACGCCGTTATCACGTGCAGCGGGACAAGGACTCTGCACCATCGTGGAGTTATTGCTATCCACTGGCAGAGCAGATCCAGATAGCAAGGACAGCCGGGGCCGGACTCCGCTATCATGGGCGGCCGAAAACTGGCACTTGGATACCGTGCGCGCACTGGTTGCGCACGGGGCTAGCGCCGATATCCACGACCACGAGGGGCAGATTCCACTCTGGTGGGTCATCAGTAACCATAGTAAGAGACGAGAGTCACACGGGCAGCATCCAGAGGACTTTCAGCAGTGGCTTGCCGCTCTCGGACCGACGCATGGTGTGGAGCCAATGACCAAGGCCCGACGAACCTTTTTAGCCTGGGCGAGTGAACGCGGCGACACGGCGCTTGTGCAAGAGCTGCTGAAGACGACCTGGGCAGACCCTAATTCTATTGATCGTTACAGGAAGACCCCGCTGGTGTACGCGCTTGAATGGAGTCACTACGAGATAGCGGACATGCTGATGTCTGGCTCGGGGGATGACAGAGATCGTAAGCACGATATTGTGTCGCTAAAGCTGATGGTTCAAGAGAGCCGAGCTCGATTGCTGAAACCGTTCCTGGAGCGGTACAAGCCAGATCTGAGCAACGAGGACGAGTCGAGCCCAATTCCTCTGATGAGATGGGCACTACAGCAGGCCGATCGCTCGACGGTGGCCATTCTTCTAGAACACAAGGCTGGAGTAGATGGGCTGGAGAACGGGGACTGGTTTGGTCCTTGCAGCGTGGCTGGAACACCAGCAAATCTACTGTTGGCTCACACTCGGACCGATGGTGCCTCAATTCCTGTGATGGATATGACCATTCCAGATGGTGATCGTGCGGCGTTAACGGCATTGTTAAGCCATCGGAGGCAGATGATGACGCTTGACGATGGCTACGATGGGAGATATAGCCGTGGGCTGAAATCCAGTGTCGCAGTGGATATTGTGGTCTACAGGGATGGACGGCGTGCGGCGCGTTGGATTAATGACGATACTTTGTACCAAGACATAAAGGCAATGCCCAAGACGGCAGACGAGACACATCTTCTGTAAGCTGATCAAGCGAATAATGGCTATGAGGACGTGATGCTGATGCAATTCAGACTCTTCCGAGAAAATCATTATTGGAACACATATTGCCAACTGACCGATACGCCAAACGAGCTGCAATTTTCTCTCGGAAATAAAAGTCCCTGTCGAACTTTCTCACTGTTTGTCCGCCTGGACATGAAGATCGGGACCTCCTTTACCGACGACCAGGACGACGACCGCAAGGTCCGCATTATCGAATGGGCCGTTCTGGAAGCGCCTCAGAAGACTATCCACTACTTCAGCAACCTGTCATACGGATGGATCCCTGAGAGTGACCTGGAGCTGGTGCAGCTGTTTATGCAAACATGGCGGGACGACTGGATCGCGTTTTGCCGGGAGGCTCGGGGGTACTTGGGACGGCTGGTATGTTCTCGAGAAGTTTTATGTTGGGCGACTGCTAATTACGCAGCGAACACATCAATTGACTGCCCGAGGCAAAGATGACCGACTTATTGACTCTATCGCCGAAAGCATGCAGCAATGGACGCAAATTCAAGCATCGTTGGCCGAGCAACTTAGCCAGGCTAGGTGTTTTGTGACGCAGTACCAGCGGTTCAGCGAGACGCGCAAGTTCAGTGAAAAGATGCAGATTATGATAGATGGATTAGACAAAGAGATATCAGGACAGATTGATAAGCTAGAGCAGACGGTGCGCGATTTGCTGCAGATTGTACGCTTCCCTCGTGGCAGTCTGTGAGCGTACGGCTAATATTGGTAGGAATTTGCGTGGGTGTCAATTAATGAGGCGCACCGGTCGACTAGCTTGGCGACGAGCATGAAACGGCTCAGTTGGATTACGGTATGTCTGCTTTCTTGTTTCAACCATGGCAACTAACGGATGGGTAGTTCATTTTTCTTCCCTTGACATTTGCGTCGGTGAGCATACCACCATCCATCGACAAGTCAATTCTAACTGAACAGAGTTTATTCGGCATGAACGTGGATATCCTCAGCGACAACCCTTCATGGCGCTGGTATCCTCTCATTGGAGGAGTTCTACTGCTATTGACGGTGGCAGTATGGCTGTCGAGCAAGTTTACGAATGTGCGTGTCTCCTACCCGGTCTAGACTTTCACTTCACTAATCTTTACAGATTGAGCGATGGGTAGAGGATCAAGCGGAGCAGCTTATCAATGGACGTCAGAAGAAAGAGACACTCGTGTGGTGATACCCGTGTTAACTGGTTAAAATTCACACCAAACACACTAAGTAATACAATATCATCAACCACACTATATACCCACCCTTCTAAATCAAGTCGATGTCTAGACAGTAAAGTCACGAGCATGCACTCCCTGACGAGTCAGAAGGGCAGTCAACAGCGCGCGCACATCAGTGAGGATCTCAGAGGCGGTCGTCGGGACGGGAAGAGCGGCAGATCCAGAGGCAGCAGCAGCAGAGGGAGCAGCAGAGGGCGTAGCGATGACAGGGGCAGAAGCAGAGGGGTTAGCCGCGGCAGTAGACTCGGAGCTGGAGGTAGTCGCAGCCGAGGTCGTCGAAGCAGAAGTAGTAGAAGACGAAGCAACAGCCACATTCTGAGTCGGGGTAGCAGCGGCAGCAGTGGTAGTTGCCTCGACAGACGTAGTGGCAGCAGAAGTAGCGGACGAAGAAGCAGAGGTAGTAGTAGTAGCAGCAGCAGCAGCAGCAGTAGTCGAAGAACTCTCACTACCACTAGCACTAGCACTGCTACCATCCCCAATACTCTTCGTCAAATCGCCCTTCTCAATATAAACCCCACTCCAGAACCAATCCTCGGTCCCATCGCCAGTCAAACTCAACACACCAACATGGAAATCCGCCCCATTGGAGCTCGCACTCGCACTAACAGGACTAACCACCTCCGTCAAGGCATCCGATCCATTCGACGCCCAAAGTCCAACCTTCTGGTTATCGAAATCAATATCATACGCAAAGTTGTACCATTTGCCCGTCTCCAGCTCCACAGAGTAATGCGTATCTCCTCCGGCATTCCACTTCAGCGTGTTGTCCTGGTACTGCAGCTCTGTGAAATGGCTCTCGAAGAAGGCGATTTGGTGCTCGCTTGAGGAGGACGGGGGGTTTGTGCTGCTGGCGCTCAGGGAGAAGTGGTAGTATAGGTGGCCGGATCCCAGGTCGGAGGCGGAGGACGAGGGGGACATTTGGGGGATCAGCTCGGTGCGTTGCATGCTTTGGCCTTCCCAGAAGGAGGTGCTGTCCTGTTTTATCCCCGAAGGAGGGCGGGTTAATTTGTGGATTTCGGGGAGGATAAAGGCATGGGAGGAGTACAAGTCTGGTACGCAGACCCTGGGCATCGCTCGCTGCTGGGTTCTTGTAGTCGCTGGATAGGGCTAGGTATTCAGAGGTTTCACCGTCGCCGTGGATGTACCATTGCCAGGGGGCGATTTGGTTGCTCCATGACCCTGTCGATTCTTTCTTAGTAGGGTTGATGTGAGGGAAGGAGGGGAAGGAGAAGCCATACATTCATCGAAGTCAGCGACAGTATAGGACGAGTTGAAGATTCCGCTCCACAGTACGGATCCTGCCAGTGTGGAGGCGGGGAAGGCGAGGAAGGCGGCTCCTTTCATGCTGATACTTGCGTGGTATATAATGAGTGACTGGTGAAAGTAGACGAGAGAAGAGAATGGAAGTAAAGAATGGATGTGACCGGCACAATGAAGAAAAGAATGGTGGTTAGAGAGAGAATGGAATCATGGGCACTGAAGGGTTTAAGTAGGGCTTGGATACTGGATACAGGCTTGCGGGTAAACTGAAACAAGTATCCGCTGGCGGTTTCATCACCGCCGCTGTTAGATTAAGCTTGTTTCAAATTGATCGAACAGGGTCCATGACATGACCGACTTGAGACTGACAGCGGTAATCAATTGATTATGTTTAGTTTAAGGGTGGTAACTATGCAGAAGCTAATTGGTGGTGCGCTGTCCATGCTTGCCTAGTCCACACACAGGCTATTATAAGTTAACGCCTTGCACATGTTTGCCCGCTCCAGCACGTCCACTCAGTGCCTAATCGTATCCTTTTCACAAAGCAAGAACCGCCTCCTTCAACTTGGCGAAATTAGGCGTTCCCAGCCCTGTCGCCGGATCCCATCCCGTCGTGGCATTCCAGCTCGCCCACGGGATCACTCCAGCGCCCTCCACATCGCCTTGGCAGCCGACGGCCTCGCCACTGGTAATATCGTTCAGACTTTTGTAGCCGCTGGAGTATAGCCAAGGGTTCAAGAAACCCAAGGATGTCTTGTTAGCCCGCAGACGGGCATCGTTCAGCAGCGCGACGACACCCGCAAACACAGGGCTAGCGCCGGAGGTACCCGCCACAAGGCCGAGTTGACCATCGGTAAAGGTTTCGTAGCTGTTCACATTAGCAAATGTCCTTACACGCATCCGGAACAGATACATACTAGGGGGAGCCTGCAAACGCAGACACATCAGGGAACGCGCGACCGCTAAAGTTGGTGTACTGCTCGTAGTACTTCTTCGTTGACGCCGAGATGTACTTGTCTAGGTAGGTCTCCACCTGATCCGACTGGTACGACGGCTGCGAGAAGTAGTTGCTGAAGCCGCCAGAGCTGTCCACCCAGGCAACCTCGGGCACATCTTGGGTGCCGCCGACCGCGGTGATGTAGGGACATGTTCCTGGGAACATGGGGGTGAATTCCGTCTTGTCGGTGCCGTCATTGGACATGCATGCGCCGCCAACACCTGGATTTGTTAGAGTGTTCGTCATGTTATTGGAATGGGGGAAGCTCACCAGAGTCGCCAGACGATTCGAGAATGGAAATACCACGTGTGCCCATCAGGCCGATCAGGTTGCACACGCGAGTAGCGTAGGCGATGGGGACAGTCTATCCTGTTAGCAGGCATCTCATGTGGAAGGTAGGGATGCTTACATCTTCGTCATCGCCGTACGAGTTGCTGATGACTAGCGGCAGCTCGTCGTTGGTCTTGGCCAGCAGGTACTCGTAGTACTGAAGGTAAGGCTCGTTCTCGTCGGTCGTGGTCTCGACGTCGGGAATGAACGGACTAACCAACCTGATTAGCCTTGATTCTGATTCTCGTCTTCAACATACTCACGGAGATCCACCGGTAATATACTCCGTCACCGGCAAGGGATGAGAAATGCCAACGATGTTCTGCACATCGAGGTCAGCTTCACCATCAGGATCATTCTCCTGGTTGTTGATCCCCCCGTTGATGGTCTCAACAGTGAAGCTCTGCTCCGGAATGTCAAAGTACTGGGTGAATAGATCCAAGTCCGAGTACAAGGCCGACTCGTTCAAGAAACTGCCAAACCCAACACGACTTCCCGAAGATTTCTCGGGCGTGTAGTCAATACTATACTGCTCCTTGAGGCAATCCGGGGTGATGTACTCGCACACATCACTGCTCTTGCCGCTGCTCTCCTTGGTAGTCTGCGAAGCACGCACGGCCGCCGAGCGGGCAGCGTTAGATCTTCCAAAGAAAACAGTTGGCGAAATGAGGTCAATGGACCCAGCCAGATCATCCGGAACAGAGTACTTCGTCGTGCGCAGCTTCTGGGTAGATCCGCTCTTGTACACCGAGAAGGTGGTGTTGAGAAGCTGATTCGCTGTGCCCACAGTGGTCGCAAAGTTCAGGAGACCACCCTCCTTGTGGATCTTGGTGACGCCGTTCTTCTTCAACCAAGAAATAACAGCAGCGTCATCAGCGAGAGGAAACTGCTCGTTGATGTCGTCCAGATCCAAGAACTGGCCGTACGTGTCCTTGCCAGGGGTGGACACGGCCAGGAGCTTCTCCTCCAACTGGTCCAGGTTCTGGCGCGCCAGAGCCACAGACAGAGAAATGGTTGAGCTGGTATCAGCAGCCTTGACGAGCTTCCAGTCACTGGGGACAGACTTGACGGTCTCCAGAACGACACTGCTGAGCACAGGGGCAGCAAGGGCGAAGCCTGCCGAAAGGCGGGAGAAGGCGACCATGGCTGAAGAAAAAGCAAAAACGACCCTGGGTGGAGAGCAGGACAGACAATGAGGAGGGACGGCCTGTTTATTATAGATGGAGTAAGTTGATCAAGCCATTCTGCAGTGGGTTTGGGCCGTCGGAGGGCGGGCGGGCTCCGGCGTGGTGGAACAGGTCACGGTGCATGATGCATCCCTTGCATCCAGGGACGCGGTGAAGCCATTCCCGTCAACCCTATTATTCCTCTGGAAGGTTGAAGCCGCCAGAAAGCTTATAATGGGACGAATTACAACACAATAACTGCATCTCCGTACGCAAGTGAAGATAAGATACCCCTTCAAAATTATAAAGGATGCAGATGTTCCTGCAGCAAATGCAAGCTACAGCAGAGCTTAGCCGCGGCACCCGGCATTCGGAGGAGCGACGGAGTCCGTCTGGCAATAGATTAATCGGCAGAAAAAGCACTGCGGACACAATGGAGACACTAACGGCACAGATAGGCGTTCTGCAGCAATAGTGGCTTATCAAGACCATAATTGAGGGGAACCCGCTCGGATGATACCATTGTTTGCCGAGATGGCCAGGTTTCCCTCGTGAGGTGATGCGAACCGTGAGGGGAATGTAGTATTGCATTCAGCTGTTTGGATAACGCCATTGATTCCCTCTCACTCGGATATTAAAATTTAGTAATCGCAATCAAACTCACATTAGAACAATGATTGAGTCTCTTTAGTAACCACACAAGAATAATGCCTCATCCCGCCGGGCTTATCCCAACCATCACTTCCACTACTTCCGCTTCACTGTCTCCACAACCCACTCGATCCGCCCATCTTCCGCCACCTCCCCGAACATAAATGTCTCTGCGGCGCCCACTTTTCCATCTGGCATCGTCATGGTAGAGCTGTGTCTATCCGCAAATTGATTACCGTCGCGCAGGAACTGCGTAATCTTGAGCGTCACACTTCCTGGTGGAAGATTTCCTCGCAGCCACTTAATGTGTGCAACAAAGGCGGAGAAGTCGCGCGTTGTCTCATCGTCGCGTTGTGTGAAAGTAGGTGTGAATAGCTTGGCCAGATCGGCTTCGGTAGTCTCAGGGGGGCCGCTGAAGAGGCTGGTTAGGGCCAATTCGAAGGTGGTGGCTTCGGAGGCAAATGTGGTGGTGGACATGGTGTGTGAGTCTCGTAGTATCCTCCTTGGCTCTTGGGGCAAATCGCAATGTATAAATCTGTAAATAGTTGTAATCTTTGAGTTGTGTCTGGTTATGGCATCATAGCTGCACTGCATGACATATAAATATTGTGGCATGATGGAAGCCTAACATACATACACTTAGGGCTTGCCCCAAGTGAGTTGTTGCCTAAGTTGACAACAAATAGTATTGCATTTAGAAATGACAGTAAGGCTACTATGCCTGTATACAAACCAAATGTCTTTGTTTGATTCGCCTTCGTTGACAGATCGTGTGTGCTGACGTGAGCGCTAGTGCTACCTAGGTACTATTCTGTGTTGGTTATTCCATGACACACCACAGAAACATTTCTCTTGTCAATGTTTGGCCCAACTTCTGACATCACAGCTCTTCAAAATCATATACCGTCTAGATACGGCCACATTATAAGTCAGCTAGAAGGGACTGCGAACAGTGCTCACGTGACGGTTGTGAAGAACATTTCGATCATCAGCATCACCAACAGCATATGCCGCCTGGTATCGCTTAGTATCCAGCGCCACCCAGTCCATATACCCACAGATCCATTGCTTGCAACCATCCACAAGGCCACATAACTGTGGGCTTGCATCTTGCAAGATCTGGTATTCCAGCTCTTCATATACACTCGCAGCTGTATGGTCGACACTCTCCTGCAAGGTGTAGCCATCCGCCGCTCGCATGTACACCCTGTTCCAGGACTGACCCGGTTGGCGTGCCTCAACAATGAAACTATGAATATAATTCGCCAAGCAGATAATATTGTTCATATAGCGACAAAGTTTCTGCACATCCGGTCGATAGAACTCCTCTGGACTGACGGGACCACAGTTCGATTAAGCTTTCTGGCATACAAATGCGGCACAGAAACGTATTTTGTTGAACGGAGAATGATTTCTACGGATCGAAGGGGGCGATGATATGATCAGCAACATGATTACACAACGGCTTTGATGGTCCAAGATGGTCCATGTGCCGCCTCTGATTAAGTAGGTAGTACTGTGTATTATGTCACAACTATAACCCTTACTACTATACTTCATTGGAGTAATGACAGAATTTCCTAATCTAGTCTGCGCAACTTCGGTGGTGAGATAGCCGTTAAGTATGTGGCTCGCACGTACACAAAACATACAACTAAGTACCGATATATATATATACATATGGCTCATGAAGTCTAATCCCTCCCAGAAATGGAGATGATTCAAAAGGGCATCAAGAGTAATATATCATATAGATAGACGCCCTTTCATCTCTCCCGTGACATTTCTTTCAACAAGAATGTTAGATCATCGACAAATACCCGACTCCGTGGATCCTGGAATGGGCTCAGCTCTCTCTCCCTTTCTCCACTTTATTTTCGGACTGATCGAACGCAGTGGGGGCCTGGAGGCAACCCGGAGTGTACTGCATGAGCTTTCTGTGGAGATTATGAGGCAGTTTGAGATGTATGAAAGCATGACGAAGGTGAAGAATTGGTTGTTGGCGGGTATTCTGGCCAAGCTGCAGAATGACTTCTCTACTCGAAAAACTGAGAGTAAGAAAGAGGATACGTTGGAGAAGGTGTTGCGTGTGTGGGGTGGCTATCGGGATGAGGCGTGGAGGGATGTTCCGAACTGAACTAGGGTTGGAGACAGAATCTTTGGACCTGATCTCACATAGTCGGCATATTTGAGTACTAGGAAGTATAGCTAGAAGACTACATCCCGGATCAAAGTTCAAATCATCGAGTCCATCTATTTTTCTATCCTCTTTACCAAAAATCCAACCATGAACGCTACCTCGGTCATAACAACATATAGATACATAACAACAGTGGTATCAACCGAAAGACATCAATCTTTCCAAGCTCAATCATGTACACGTCCCCAACAGTCACATGTCTACAAACTCTGCTTACCAGCAGTCTCAATCGGCAGCAACACCATCGCCACAAATGAAACCAACAACAGCGCACCTGACGCATAGATAGGCGCACTGGGGTTCGCAGAAGCATAGATACCAATGATAGGAGCACAGAAACCAGCAATGCGGTTCAAGCAACTAGCAATACCCGAGCCGGTACCGCGGTTGGGAGCGGGGAAGACCTCGGGGGTGTAAGCGTACAGCACACCGTACATGATCATCTGGGTGAAGGATTCGAGAGCCGAGCAGACGAGTTGAGTGTCGGATGTCTTGGCGGCCGTGAAGCAGAAGAGCAGGACGGCAGTGATCAACGTCGACAGCGCCATTGTACCTTTCCGACCGACGTACTTGAGGTCGACCATGTAGCGGGCCAGAATGGGGCCGAAGAGTCCGGTCACGGAGGTGATAGCGTAGTTACGGTAGGTGATGTATACGGAAGACGAGGAGCCGAGGTACTGGGGTAGGAAGGCGTTGAAGAGGGTGTATCCCATGCCGATAGTAGTCCAGCAGAGCCAGATGAGGGCGGCTGGTTTTCATCGTTAGTTCTTGATGGGGGCTGTTGCTGAGGATCTAAGGGAAGGACTTACTGGTAATTCCAAGACGCTTGGACGAGAACAGAGGTCCGATCTGCTGCACGGAGAACTTGGACAACGAGCGCTTCAGAATTTGCGCGGAGGAAAGGTTCTGTTCCTTGCTATCCTCGGTAGCTCCGCCGATCTCTTGCAAGATCTCCACCGTGAGCCAGGTCTTCTTCTTATTGTGATGGGCGACACCGTGAATAGCTGCGACAGCGTCCTCATCCCGGCCCTTGGCGACGAGGAACTTGGGCGATTCGTACAGCTTGAAAAAGAAGAATCGACACATCCAGAATACCATGGTGATGGCACCAAGAGAAAGAACAAGGTATCTCCAGCCCATGTTGTTTTCCTTGGTGCAGTTGCTCGAGTCGGAGCAAGAGTAGTTGGGAATGAAAGCCCAGGCCAGCATACTGGCAATGAAGGTACCCACTGACCAGAATGTGGCCAGTGAGCTCAAGATGTTTCCTGAAGCACCGGGCAAGAACTCGAGGAAGATAGCAGCGTCAACAGGCAGATTACCACCTACTCCCAATCCCAAGCAAGCGTAGAGGGCACAGGTACTGAACGCTGTTAGCTATAGCGACTTCTCAAGGGTCGGCGGGAACGTACCCAACCCAGCTGGGACCACCGCCCGATGCAAGACCAAAGGCACCACACAAGAAAAGAGTTGTGTTGAAAGCCAATCGACGTCCAATCATATCAGATGCAAGGCCCCAGAAAGTGGCGCCAACGATCAGACCAACAAATAAGGCGCAGGTAGTAAAACGAACGTAGGATTCGGAGATGCCGAATTCCATAGACAAGGGGGTTAGGGTCAGGGCAACTCCCTACGTAGAACCGTGTTAATTCGACTGCATTTCATTCGACAGTATCAGTAAATTGATTGCTGTGGTCTCACCTGTAGCCAGAGGCTGTAGGAAGAAACTTGTTAGCGCAGCTAGAACGAATTCTAGGATTCAGTCGACTTACTTGTCAGCAGTCCAACCAAATCCACACAGGATATAAAGTTCCCACTGATAACGGCCCATGCCGATATCTTGGATGGCCTTGTTGATAATCTTGGCCTTGCCTGCAATTATCCAGTCAGACATCCAGATCCTTCGGTAAAATGGTAGGAGGGGGTCCTGGCTGGGAGAGAGAGAATAGCCGGCTCCTTGGGGGTCGAAGATCGCCCATTACGAGGCAACAGAAACATACGATCATAAACAGAGTTATGGCCCGATGCAGAGACGGCAGAGTCGACTTCTGCACGCAGGGCCTCGAGGGTTAGCGTAGTGCTTTCGGGTGCGGAAGCAGCACCCTTTTCCTGGGAATCTAAGCTGTTGACATTGGATTCGGCATCCTTCTCCGTTTGGGGAGTCGTATTGGGGGCATCGGCCAGAGGGATCACGACCTCAGGGATCTGCGAGCGGTCTCGCTGCCAGTTTTTCCACCAGCTACCCATTTTGATCAGGCGTTCCGGAGATAAGTCGCAAGGGGGTAACGACGAGTGGGATGTGGCGCGTGGCTAAAGATAAAAACGGATCGACCTAAATTGTCGCTGGGGTTGTATGCCGGGGACCTAAATAGGGCACGGTATGCCTTGTCGCCGGGGCTAGATTCGATTGTTTGGATTGCTGCTCGGGAAAAAGCGGTTCGAATCTCGTCTGTTCTTACAACCTAGACCGTGAGTAGGAGAGGTTGTCGCAGGGCGCTATCAGGGCAGACGCTAGGGAGTGCAATGGCGGGCAGGCGTGCAGATAAGGGCAACCGAGGTGCGAAGGGAGACTGCGATGGTAGTTGGCGCAATGGAATAATCACAAAACAGGTCGCTCTCTGGGTTTTTGCTTGGGGCGCGTGGTCGGAGTGTTCGTGTCCGTCTTTCAGTCCTAGAATGACTATGTCTAGTGTTGTGACGACACCACACAGAAAACGCTCGGAAATAGTTTTTGTTTCGTATATAAATTCAGCCTGGTAGCCAGGTATTGACAGTCTTCTGTAGCCCAAAAGATGACACGCTTGAAAGAGAAATGCTAGTTGATTCGGTCGCAAAACAGTAATCAAACTTGCAACAAAGGAAGAGGAGTAACAAAATACTACCTCAGGATGGGTCGAGATGTGGAGAGGAAAGACCGGGAGGAATGGGATGGGAAGGAAAGCCGTGGGACGACGGGAGGGGGAGTTGTTGAACCCTATATAAACTCCACGATTCATGCGCCGCAGGAAGACTGGGAAAAAGTTTGACATAACATCAATGCGTAACAGGCAGGTCCACAGCACCCATAACTACTCGGTACGAAGTACCCCGCTTGCCGCCAGTGACCCAAGGCAGAGCTGCTGCTGTCGCTTCGATTGTTGTTGCGGTTGCCTCTGTACGAACACGAATGGCACTCTCGATTGAGTGTGAAGAGCCGAATTGATGTCCTATGTGGACTGTGTCGCATTGGGAATGATAAGGCTAGTCTTAAGGGACTGGGAGATGCAGGATAGCTCTCCTCATGGCGCTTTGGGTTCAGGCAGTTTGCCTCTTGCTACTCGGGTTGACCTGGTTTGGTGTGCGTGCGAGCGCTCTCGCAGGTTATGCGGATGACGGTGGAGAATGGGAAGGGGCCATAGAAAAGTGAGAAAGGGTAATGAAAGCAGGACATAACAGAAAAAAAATTTTCAGGATTGTATGATTCGATGTCGTTGGGGTAGACTTGCGGTTCTTAACATTATCCGTGTATGGGTCATCATCCCAGTGGATAACCTCATGTCCAATAATGAGCCAGTCAGGTCTTACTGTCTCCATCAAATCGCACGTGCCAAGACCCCTAAAACGGTCGAAAGAAGAAGGTGAAATGAGAGTCCGAATGTTGCCGTCGGCTTCGTCCGCGGAACCGGCGCCACAAGGGCCCCTTGAGTGGTGCAGCGGATTAGCCGAGTATCCACCAATGTACCCTCAAAGAGTCCCTCCGGTCGTCCTCGGAAAAACGACGTCATTCCGATTTCTGACTGAAGAGAACGGAGCAGGTCGCGTGTCAAAAATGCTTGAGATCTTCGCCGTTCTCTCGTACCGAGGAATGCCTGGTGGTTGTTGACATTCATTGAGAATTATTCCGGTGGAGAAGTAGGGAGTCTGGCATCGGATTAAGGAATTCCCGTCGAATTGCCTCAGCTGATCGGCATTACCGGTTGCGGTCACTAACCAGATGGTCTGGTCACTTGCGACGCGCGTTAATTAGTGCTCAGCATCAGGACAGAATATTAAAATGGGCTTGATTAGCCAGCACGGGAAATCGAGCCGCTCGCACTTCTTGGTGGTTATATGACACGGTTTAGGGTTTCTGACTAGCTCCCGAATGTCTGTCTACCTAATAGCAGGGCTTTGCGTACAGCTAGACAAAAAAGGTGCCTACTCCTGGAGTGAACGTGTGTCATTCAAATTTACATATCCGCATGTTTCAGAGCATTCAAGTCATAGGTCTGGGTTGCTAAGGCTCCAACGAAGTTTCTCACGAGATGCTCAAGAAGGTCCTTGACTAGCGCTTCTGCGCCTTGCCGATCAGGTACTTGGAGAGGCTCCGCGTAGACTATAAACGCGCCACTTGGGGGAAAAATTCGATAACAACCTTAGCAGAAAGATTGCATCTCATAATACTCTTATCAGTAGTAAGGCGCTTCACAATGCCTTGGACTGAGCACGTGGAGACAAGTGGTGTTTCCCTCTGTGGTTCCTAGTTTTACAAAATATATGTTCGGCCGCATAGCTACATGATGGAACCTGCCAATGACGCATGAAACAGCGACAACTGTAATCGGAAATGCCATTATTGAGCTTCCGTTTAGTAACAGCTGCACGTTAGGAAATATATGTGTACTCCTGATACAATTGACGGTTCCAAATTTTTGTCTTCCGAGTAAAGAGCTGGAGTAGGAGCTCAATAAAGTGACCCAAAATCGCAGTCATGAGCGACGTACGTCCTATAGTACTATTCATTGGAAGGATACAATCCTCCCCAGCACCGCATAATAACCTAGACGACTATTAAATGTCTAATACTAGATGCCATAGCCCCAAGAAAGGACCATGACGCCCTTTGACTGACACTTCCAATTCTTGTTAACCGAAAAATGTCAACAGTGCAGGGCTCAAATGGCCCATTTGCCTGCATACCT